GATGTAGCCGCTGCAGACAGGTGGTGTGCAGCGATAGAAGCCTGCCCCCCCCCTCCCTGCCCAACGCCTCCCGGAAGAGCCGTGGCTTTGAGGGCACGGTGGGGCAGTGTGCCCCCAGATCGGGGCGGGGCAGGTGGCAGAGCGGGGGCTATGAGGGGTCTGCAACCACCCAAAAATTCGCCATAGCCTCTGCAGCTCGTTGCAACCCCAGCCCTGCCCAACCCAGCCCATGCAGGTCCAAAGACAGATGCCACCCCGCCTCCCCTTTGTGTTCGCCCAGCCCTGTCTGGGCTGTGTTTGCCCCAGTCCCTCCTTCACCACGGGGGGGGCGTTGATCTGCCCCCCCACACCCCTTCTCTTCCCCCTCTCCTTCCACCACTTACCAGGTACAGGCACTATTGACCATCATAAAGGAACCAATCCCCCATTTGTAACACTGTTCCTATGGGAAAATTGGTTCCAAGTTATGGTGTTTCGACTTAGGATGTGATTTAGAGGAACCAACTGCATTGTAAGTCTGAGGAATGCCTGTACTTTTAAGCTGTCAAACTGTAAGCCTTTTTGGGTGTCTCTCTTGAAGATAATAGTTATTAACTTTGCATCTGGCTTTGGCAATGAAAATCAGTCCAGTTCATATACTTTCATTTTCCTTCTTGGGCTGCGGTTTTATAGTTTCGAGTGAAAGTGTGTTGCTGGAACTAAAACACTAAAAATGATGTGTTTCTTTAACTATGCCTTACAGTTTCACAAGCCATGAAAGTGGGTGATAACAATGTAATTGAATCAAAAGGTAAGCAATAGTGACTTTTTTCCAGGGTGAAGATAAAAACACTCCCTTGGTAGGTTGGATACCTGTTACATTATGTTATATACTGTTAAGACAGGATCTATACCAGGAGTGGGCAAAATGGCAGATCGTGCAGGCGGCTGTACTCCATTTCCCAGCAGCCCCTGCCCCCCTGTCTCCCAGGTGTTCTCTACGGAGACCCTGGGAGTGCGGGGCTGTGATAGTGCAGGGCCGCAGAATTGAGGCTGTGCCCCAGCCCAGCCCCATGCTGTCACAGACCCACACTCCCAGGGTTTCCATGAATACTGGATGGGAGTGGCACAGACAGGGTGCACGGTTGGGCAGGTAGCTGCTCCAGGACTGGGGCCAGGAACTTGCAGCAGTGACAGCAGGGGCCGGGGCAAAGTTGTGATCCTTTCCCTGCATGCCCCTGTCCACAGAACCCATGCCCTTTGCACAGGCATGTGGGCAGAGGATCACAGCTCAGCCCCAGCCCCACATTGTCACTTCCTCAAGATCCCAGGGTCTCCCCAATCCTGCCTGCCCATCCCAGCCTCCCAGCCACAGACCCTGCCCACACAGGTCCTGGACCTTGTGGAAGTTGTGGAGCAGATGGGCTGGGGTGCCTGGACAACAGGGCTCTGGCAGCAGCAGTCAGAAGGAAACACTGCTGCTGGGGCTGCTGGGAAACGGAGTCCATTGTGGGCCTAATCCGGCCCACAGACCAGACTTTGCCCACCCTGATCTATACCTTTGCCTCTGCTAATATCTCATTCAGTATTGGTCTATTATCCATTAAGTCTTTTTTAGGCCACATCTCTGCTAGGGTAAAAATATTTTTTGAAATGTACAAACTAGTTGAGATACACCCAAGTAGGGAATCTGACCAAGTGACCTATGTTAAAACTACACCTGCCTGGCTACAGTTTTAGTATGGATGTGAATATGAAAATGATGTAGTGCTATCTGTCTCCTGCCCTTACAAAATGAAGGATTCCAGTATCTCTGCCATGCCTGACCATTGTGATCCCAGCCAGTTGGCAGCACTTCTGTTTAAAAGAACAGAGCCCAGCAAATATGAAGGCAGCATTTAATTGGATTTTAAAGTTTAAAGACATGAATGCAGTTGGGGACTCCCTTTTCAGTGTCAGAACAAGTTAATTGAGATTGAAAAGTCTTGTAGCTAATTTTAGTGACTATTATTTTTTAATTCTGTACTAGTCCATAAAAGCTAGACTTTATTTTGTTTGCATGCAGGTGGTTTTAAGCAAGTGTCCAACCCAAAGAGAAGTGGGAATGAAATTGTAAGATTACTGTAAGAGTATATCTACACTGCAGTCACAATAATGATTTCTCCGTTTCCTTGTAGCATTTGTGGGCAGGAATGTGATTCTGACCAGTGGCTGCATCATTGGGGCCTGCTGCAATGTCAACACATATGAAGTTATCCCTGAGAACACTGTGATCTATGGAGCTGACTGCCTGCGTCGAGTCCAGACTGAGCGTCCCCAGGTGAGTGTTCCACAAACCACACGGGAGAGTTTGTCCCCTGCCAAGGTGGCCAGACTCCATAGGGGTTTTGACCCTGTTCCTCTAAAAAATGGCCACTACTTTAAAAGCAAAAAGGGACTGGAGAGCTACTGTGTACATGTGGTCCAAGTAGAGGGAAGAGAATTCCTAGGTCCCAGTTTGCCTCCTATCTTCTTATAGCAGGAATAGTTTGTTTACTGATAGAGTGGTCCCTCATATCCTTACAAAACACCTCCAAGGCTGTAGGCAGGGGCAGCCTTCCAGGTCCGTCATTCTTTGTCTCTTTTGGTCTCTTCTGAAAGTTTTCTGAAGCAGCTCTGTAACCAGCTATGCTTTGCTCCTTCCCTGGGAACACTGCTTTTGTGAAGCTGATTGGCGTTATGTCCTCTTGTCTAAATATAATTCAGAATTCATTGTATCACTACTCATTTTGAAGCCCACTCATGAAAGAAATACCTAGTGGGTGCTCGCCTCCCTGTCCATTGCCTGCCTGTAAGTGCAAAATGCCTTCATGTAAGGCAGCGTTTCCCAAAGTTTTTCATCCCGCGGCACACTTACATGGCCTCCCCCACCCAATGGCACACCACAAGGGGGGAGGGGTGGGGAGGGATAGGGGTTTGGGTGGCGAGCAGCTGAATGCTGCAGATGAGGGAGTGGGGTGCTGCAAGCGGCGGAATGCTTCAGAGCTGCCCCTCTATCTGACTGCTGACCACTGTAGCAGCAGGTGGGGGGCATGGCTCCAGCCCAGAATGCCACGGCACACCTGGACATGCCTGGCAGCACACCAGTTGGGAAACGCTGATGTAAGGCATTTGGGCGCATAGCTTCACCCTCCATTGTATGCAAGCCCCTGAACAAGCATGCATTGGACAGACTAGCTAGTTGTCTCCAAAACGCATCATACTGTTATAGTAAGGTGACTGGGCCTGAGATATTTCTTAAAGTGACAAAAATGATGTTCAAGTGCCTTGTTTCGTCAGAAATTGACTCACTCTGCACTGTCAGACTCCTGCACTAGGGCAGAGATTCAGTGTGAATGTGCTTATCCAGTTCATGTCAGGAGTGTCACCTGTGCCGTGTCATGAGTGCATCTCTAATGATGTGGAGGGCCAGCCTAATGGTGTTCAAGTGCCTTGGTTTCTTACACCTTCCTTTTCTAATTCTTCACTGTACCTTCTAGCCACAAACGCTGCAGCTGGATTTCCTGATGAAAATCCTGCCAAATTATCACCATTTAAAGAAGACTATGAAAGCAGCATCTACTCCTGTTAAGAGCTAAGAGTTCTCCCATCAAGATATATTTCCCTCTTCTGCTCCAACTGATTTAGGAACTTTTCTTTCAATTTCCAGCTCTGTGTGCACAAAGAAGTCACTGATTTTTTTTTTTTTTCCTATTATGGTTTCTATATTTTTGCCAAGAGTTTAGTAGTATGAGTAATCTGCAATTGAGTGCTTTTGTGCACTATTTTTTTCTTAACAGAGTCCGGAAGAAGTGTTCATGGAAATCAGGAGACCGTTGGAATGGCACTGCAAACAGATGGATCATTTTGTAGGACTCAA